TATTACACAGTTTGTTAATTTTAAAACATACAATAGGCAATAACTCACGAAAAAAAGATGATATCAAAAATGCTTAAAACTGTTTTTAGGATAGTACGGGGGGAACTAAAATGACATAAAAGGGAACTCACCTCCATCAACCCAGGCCCCACCCACCACTACCAAAAAAGTTTAAATTGCAAACTTCTATTTGTGATACATCATTGAAAAGACTGTAAAAAATGCTATCGAATGGTGTAAATAATAATTATTCAGGGTGACGAAATCATTGTGAAACTTTGACTTAAAAATAAAAAATTTAATGAGGTTTTTATTGAACTACAAATTTGTTAAAAATGTTAATTAAACAAATGTTTAAAGTGGGTTCCGTTGTTTTGTAAACAATAATATAGCCTATTTTCAAATTCTGCACGAACTTTGGCAAATATTGTTCTAGTAATAGCGCGACCTTCTTAGGTAATTCTTTCTCGCAACTCCGCAAGTGACTCAGGTTGAGTTTTATAAACAACTGACTGACTGAAGGTAACCCCATAGAAAAAAGTCAGGTGGCGGTAAGTCTGGTGACTTTGGTGACCATTCAATAGGACCTCTCCTTCTAATTCATTGGTTCGGATAATTAGTATGCCAGTGCCTAACTGGAGCTTCACTTGTTCAGCAAATCTTCGTCTAGAGCTAAGTTGCCTTAGAACCGGAGTTTTAACCGTATTAAGGCTGTCACCCTTTCAAGAGAGGGGTGCACCTTCTTTTCTTGCAGAATAATGGGGGAGTGACAAAACGTGATGAATGATGTTGGTTTGTGGAGAAGTAGTAGATTACTAAGAAGCCGTGATTCAGAAGGTGGCGTATATGTGTAAACGATATATTATATGAAGCGCACAAGAGGAATTATTGGTGAAGGAAGCCAAACATATCGAAGGAGGCACTTCAGAACTTATGGAGCAAAGAAGAGAGTTTAAGAATAAAGACGCAGAACGAAAGTAAAAGAAACACCACAAAAATATAATTAAAAAAATAAAATTAGCAAAATAATTCTGGCTGTTAGAGAAATGCTTAGAAATAGAGATCCTACAGAAAAAATATGATATATTCAATATGTACAGGAAGATCACAGAAATGGCAGGAATATATAGAACAGCATTGCCTACTGCACTGTTTGATAAAGATAAAAATATACTATTCCATATGCAAGAAAAACTAGACAGATGGCAGAAATATATAGCAGAACTGTTTAGTGACAACCAACACATTAAAGTATATGAAAACGTCAAGAATGGACCAAAAATAACAAAATCAAAAGAAGATCTGCTATAAGTCGTCTTAAAAACAACAAAACGCCAGGACTGATGGAATATATACTAAGGTATTGAAATTTATAGAAGACAATCAACTTGACATTATGACAGAATTATTTAACCGTATATATGAAAAAGGAACTTTACCAAAAGATTGGTACATCTCCATATTTATACCACTGCCAAAAAAGCAAATACTAAGAAATGTAAAGAATACTAAGTCATGAACCACTCACTTAAAATATTCCTAAATATTACTCATGTTTGCATATACAAGAATTTGAAGGAAGGTATTACTGATGTACAATTTGAATTTCGCAGTAGTCTTGGCACAAGAGAAGCACTTTTTAGCATACACGTATTGATACAACGAGCAAGAGATGTTAATACATATGTCTTTGCGTGTTTAATTGACTTCAAAAAGGCATTTGATGAAGTACAGCATGAGAGGCTTACTGAAACATTGCGAATCGCAAACATCGATGACAAGGATGTAAAAATAATAGCTAATTCATATAGAAAACGAGTAGCCAAGTTGCATACTCTCGCCTTTGCTGTTTAATGCGTACTCTGAACATCTATTTCGAGAAGCTTTGGGAGAAATGACTGATGGCGGGATTGTTAACAGTGAAGTAATAAGTAATCTAAGATATGCTGACGACACTGTCCTTGTTGCGGATAGTTATAAAGGATTACAAATACTGGCAGATCAAGAAGTTAACATCGGTAGAAAATATGGAATGAAACTTATTAATAAGAATACGAAAAATATGATCATAAGCAAAAACCAAGATACAGATGCAAAGTTTATCGCAGATAATGAGGTATTGAATAGATCAGAAAAATAACATACCTAACACTCATACAAAAATAAATGTAGGATCGAAAATGCAAGGAGTGCCTTTCAACAGATAAAGAAAGTTCTCTGCAATTTAACCTTGAAATTACATCTCCGACTCTAAATTCTTAATTGTTATATCTTTTCTATTCTTATGTATGGAGCAGAGGCATGGACACTCACTGATGCGTCTTGCACACGGTTGCAGTCTTTCGAGATGTGGTGCTATAGTCGTATGCTCAGAATATCATGTAATATCATGTAATATCATGTAATATCATATGTACATCATATAGCTAACGAAGCAGTAATTTAACGTTTACAAAAAGAACCTGAAATCTTGAAATCCATTAAAGAGAGAAAGTTGGCATACTTTGGACATACAGTGAGAAATGAAAATAAATACAGAATCCTACTATTGATATTAGAAGGGAAAATAGAAGTAAATAGGGGACCAGGACGCCGCCGAATATCCTGGCTTAAGAATATAAGACAGTGGATTAAAAAGACTGATAGACACAGACTTATTTCGAACACCTGCTAATAAAATACGATGGGCCATTGTGGTAACCAACATTCATAGAGGATAGGTACTAGCAGAAGAAGAAGTTCTGGAAGAATTTGTGTTTTATACGGGTGAAGCTTATGTAATTTAAACACCTTTTTAACCGACTAATGTGAAAGTCCTGTCATTGCAGATATGTTACGTGTTGATGTACCCAATTTGGGATGCTTTATTTGTAACGACTATTTTGCTTACCTCAGGGTAAGAACATGGGGGAGAAGATTGGGCAAACAAAACAATCGGAACTAGTGCGTACGGCACTCAGTTGGTTGTTGGAGAGCTGGGTCGTGGATAAGTTGAAGATATGGGGGTTGGATTGGGGCAACTACAAAAAAGGAAATAAAGGGGTACTTAATCTCTTGGGATAAACAAAATAAAAATAAACTAGAAACACCGCAAGGAATTTAATATAGGGCGCCACGCTGACTATGGGGACATTCTATACCATACTTTTCAAAAATTGCCAGTTTCTATTCCAATCTTGTAATGACTACTCTGACAAAGCTGCTTATGCAAAGCAAGAAGTGTTATCATTTCAACTGGTCTTAAGACATCACAAAAAAAATTGAATCAACTATTCGATTGCCCGATTCGAAAAATTGCCCCACATTTTACATTTCAAATCCGTCGCTTTACTATACATCGTAAACGTTTGCACCGTTTCAAATCTTTATTAGGTCCTACATTGTAACACGTCTGCCCAGTTTCAAATCTGTTCTTGAACTCTTTATCCGTGTTAAATTTTACAAATTCGACGCCAAAGCAATTTTCCCTTTACGTCTCAAAACCTAAACAAACAATATTCCCGTTCTGACCTAAATCTAATATCGGTGTGGGCGACCCTAATTTCTTGTTTTTAAAACAGGCCTCAACTATGTTACAAAGCGACTTTCAAATAAACTACTTTTAAAAATGAAGGAATAATACGTATTATTGATTATTCTAACAGGAATAAGTTCTACCTGACTTTGTAACAGAATTAAAAATATATTTTCAGCGTTATTACGCATTTAAGAATCTCGTCAAAAAAACTTGAAATATTTACAACATACATTTAACTTCATCGAAAGATTTTAAAAAAACTTCCTATATTAACGATTGTTTTCTTGGCAAAAACAACCAGGGGTGTATTACAGAAATCTAAAATATAAAATGCTACATATTCAGTAATATTGGGGCGTCCCTTTTTTTATCTTGCATCGCGTCTTTAAACGTTTCAACTAAATCGCAGACGTCCACGTGACTAACATTTTTGTTCGGATGCCTTTCATTAAACATTTCGTAACATTCGTAAATAACACTAGTTCTGGGAGGCAAATATGAAAATGATCTCCAGGCGTTCAGGTAAACTGTAAACCATCGTGACCACTAGAGCTAATTCACAATTAGATCGTACAAATGATGCAAACTAATGACATTTAAAATTCTCACATAAACCAAAAAGTATTTAATCTGACAGAACCCGAAAAACAGATGTTTTCAACTTGTTGAGCAAAAAGGACAAATTAAGTTTTTATTTAACAAAAAAAATTCCGACGGGAACTTAGGTGTCATTAAAAATAATAGTCCGAGAGATAGCATTATAAATACAAAAGTCATAGTAAGCCGGCTGATATTAACACCCTGTATAATTATTAAACATTAATTATACAAGATCATCGACAGAATCAATGAACACCTCGTTAAATTTTCCATTTAAGAAAAAGCTTCACAATTATTGCTTCACCCTGTATAATTATTATTTAAACCATCGGATAGCATTTTTTATAGTTTTTTCAATGATGTATCACAAATAGGGATTTGCAATTTAAACTTTTTTGGTTGCGGTGGGTGAGACCTAGGGGGTTGATGGGGAGTGAGTTTTCTTTTATGTCATTTTAGTTCCCCCTTACTACCCTAAAAATAGCTTTAAGCATTTTTCGACATTATCCTTTGTTCGGCAGATATAGCCCATTGTAGGTTTTAAAATTTAAACACTATAAAATTTTTCTTTTTTTTTAATAGAATAAGTATCTTATAACAATTGAGTTAATCCTTCATAACTAGAGGAGAATGGAAAAAATCTATTTAATATATTTAATCTATTTTAAAAAGGAATAATATTTAATATAAATATTGATATTAAGATTTAATATAAATTTAAGTTTTCCAATCTAATTTCCGTTCTGATCTACGCCTATGAAATAAACAAAAAAAATATTTTTGGCACCTTATTTTAATCAATATAGTTTTCGCTTTCGTTCAATAGTGTTGTCGAATTATTGACGATAAGCTATCACTGAATACAACAAGGAACGGTTTCTAGTGCGGCTTACCGATAATCATGTTCCGGTAAATATTTTCTAGAGAATGAAGGTGGTAGTAGTTGGTGAAATCATTTATCGCAAATGTGATGAATTCACGTGAAATGGCCGGTGTTAAAGTCGTAAGATTTACAGACAATTATATGGTAAGTACGATTTTGGGTAACATTAGCTTGAAATAGTGTTTTTAATGCTCTCAATGGTAATAACAACTCAATACAAAACAATGGGTTGTGGAGACAAATATTATATTACTTCAAGAAATTTATTTAAAAAATATTTAAAAACATTGAATTTTTAAATTGGTAGAATTATATATTTCTAATATTTTTTATTACTCTATTCCTAATTATTTATGTCTTATAAATTCAAGATCATTATTTCTTTTTACAAATGCGTAAATCAATTTTGTTAACCGTCCTTACATCAGGAGAAATACAGCTTCTCTTATGTATTTCTTTTCCTTCTAACTGGGTGGTCCTTACCACCATATTTTTTTCCATCGCAAAATTGATTTGTGTTTTGACCATTTTTATTTGTCACTTCATGCTTGCGATGTATTCAAGCTACTATAGTATACACAGCTTCTTTCTTCACTTTTGTATTGCATTGATGATTCCACAATTTTATTTTGTTTTGGCCCTGTTGCCTCTTTAAGGGTGAGTTTTTTTTATTTATTGGATAAATGTGAATCTGCATATTACCATTCGTGGGTCTAAGTGGAAGCTCTAAAGCAGAAGTGTCAGAAGTATTTTCTACCTTCCCCGGTTGGACTAAGCTCGCCACTAAGTACAAGTTCTATTGGGAAAACCGGTCCTTTCCAGATTGTTAGTCTTTTTGTTTTGTTCGATTTAAACGCATGGAAGATAGCTGAGGCGGTGTCCTCACTGTTTCTCGGTTTATGATTTGTGAGCTTGATGGAGGTAACAATTGTATGTGTGAGTAAATGATAAGTGTATAATAGAATAACAAATGTATGTGTTGTATTATGTATTTATGTGTGAAGTTGAGTGAAGGTTTGGTTTATGCAATTATTGTAACAGGAGGTTGATATGGGTTACACATATAATGCATTGGATATTTGATTTAAATATCAGATTGTGTCTCCTCTTTTTGGGAAAGACGTTAAAAAGGATCATACACGTGAAGTGGATTAGGGATTTTATGTCCAAGAATAGGTCGTATAAGAGGATTTGTTTGGAAGTGTGTACGGTTTGTGTTTGTTTTGTGTCTTTTCTTCGGTGTGGGACATTTTGTGAAAATGCCAGGTAGCTTCTATTACAGTTGGGACTTTTTAGAATACCTATCGTGGATCATGTAGTAGACCTATGTTATTGCTTGCAGAATGGAGAGATAAATGATTTTTTGTGGCATTCGTGACCAAGGTGTCTGCTTTTGAAACATTTCGAACAATATTTTAGTTGCTCAATCTTGTAATCTCGCATTTTAACCGTTCTCTCTATCTCTCTCTCGATCTTAATACCGTTCGAGAGTGTATTTTCATATTTATAGATCGGGCAATCATTGCAATCACAGATTACTATTTTTATGTCATGTTTTGGTAGATGCTCATATTGATTTATCAATATGAGCAAAAGCAAGCTTTTGCTTTATATATTTTTCTCGGATGGAGAATCTATAAATAAGTATAATTTACATATTCTTATACTCCTTTTTCCTTCCTTCATTCGTATTGCGCACACTTTGGATCAGATGAGGCTAGAGGACAAAACATTCTCGTTAAAATCTTTTGCTACTGCGAAACCTGTTGCAACGTCCTGTCTTTTTCACCATACTTAAATAGCGCTATGATCACAACTTCTGTTATTTAATTTCCCATTTCTTTAGTTTCTTGTAAAGCCTATTTAAACGCTCCCGCATAAAAGAACCACCCAATATTTCAGGTCGCTAGTATCATCTCGTTTTTGTATTTTCTCTTTTTAAAGCTTCCCTATCAGTTCTTCTTTTTCCTCTTTTCTATTTTTTTTCCTATTTATCTAATACCTTAACTAGTATTAATACCTTAACTAGTAATTATGGCCTTGCTTCTTGCTTGGGTCATTTTCCTCATATCAGCCTTATGGGCCCTTATCAGTTTTTTGTTTCTTATAGTTTTTTATCCCATCTATTTCACTTCCATTATGTTACTTCTATTGTTATCTTATTAAAGTCCATTTTTACTTGTTTTCCAGTATTTCTTTCTTTAATTGCTCTGTGTCTTATCATGCTCCACATTTTCCGTTTCTAAGCTTTTTAAAGCAAAGCTTCGATATTGTAGTTTACTTTTTTCTCTATAGTCAAATGCTGGTTAAATTTAAAAACTGGATGAAAAATAAATAACAAAATATAGACATTATGTTTTGTTATTTACAGAAGTAGAAAATTAATAAAATATCTGTCACAAGATTTAATTCATAACAATTTTTAAAATTTAAATTTTATAAATGTCATCTGATTAATAACAACATTGAACCACCTTTTTAAATTTTTATAAGATGTCTCGTTTTAAAATAATTTTGTATAAATACAATTCTTATTTTTAAACATATTATTTAGTTTACATAATAATTTAATTTACTATCAAATTATATCAAAATTATAATTTGCTTATTCTGTTTGTCTTTCCGCAATGAAAACCCCATATATAGTTCTTGAATTAGTCTGTTTTCCAAACCTGTGCTACGAATAAGGACGAACGCATGTGGAAGTACACTTTTAGTCAACAGTTTATTTTTATCGAAAGTACAAAAGATCTTACACATTATATGTATATATTTATAATAATTTCTAAACTTTAAGTTTCTCTTGGTTTTCATAATCAATATGATCATTTTCTGCAGCACTCTGATTATTATTTACGCCTGTATCTATTATTTTATAAAATGTGAATATCCAATCTGTTGTAACTTAGGTTTCAATAAAGAAATCTTTTTCCCTTTTCATATTATAGACTTGCTGAACACGATGTCAGAACGATAAAATATTTTCCTCTTACCGTGGTCATATAATCTGTGTCCTTAGAAAATATAAATCTTTTTGATGCATTACATTTAAAATGCCACTGGGAAGGTTGATTAACAACAATGTCATTGTCCAGTCTGATATCTGCCAGTCTTTATCAAGTCTTATCGCCTTTGAGTGCTTTCCAATTGTCTTTATATTCGTTTCTGTTTATACCAACGTTCTTCTTTTTTATCTCCCTTTTTATCATACCGAAAATCCTATTTTTTGGCAAAAAGGAATGACCAACAAGAAAAACCTCCACTTCCTTGATGTGACCAGATGCTTTATAAACCAATCAGTAGATTATTATAGACACCACCGAGCTATTTTTGTTCTGTCCACCACATCCTTTTGCAAATGAGTTAACTGTTTCGCTTTGATTTTTAAAGTTAAATTTTATAAGAGCATCATGTACAGCAAAGGCAATAACATTTAAATCTTTTAAATTTGCGGCTAGAAATAAGCCCCTTATCGGAAATCTTTAGTAAAGAAAGATTTTTTCTTTTTTCTTTTAAGGAAAAGAAAATATATTTATATATTATGATCTAATTCGATTTTTAAGAAAGAATAAAAGGCTTTAGCTCTTAACGGATAAACTCTCTGCTCTGTTATAACCTTGTCTTCTTCTAAGTTTTATTTTCTTACAATTTCCTTCGTTCTAAGACACGCAGAACAAGCATCTATTAAGGGACTGCCGTATGATATGTTGTAGTGTTCATGAAAGTATGGCTGGAAATAATAACTTTACCGAATGATGTGGATAACTTTGACAGTACATTCAGTAAAGCTTTGTAAAATTTGGATTATATTGTTAATACAATCTAGTTGATCGTCCTTTATTATAATGACTCTCAGCACCGTTCATACTCCTCATAAATCTTTGGATAGATAATTTTATTTGATCAAATCTACCTTTTGTTGTATCTCCCCCTCATCTCTCTTTTGGTATTTCACCCCGGATAACAAACGTTCTTACAACACGCTCTATTCTTTCAGAACTTAAATAAGTTAGTCCAAAAAATGCTCTCTTGCATACCATTACATTCCACTTTTTACTGTAGGAACAAAATATTTATTGAAATTCCATGTAGGTTTGTATTTGATCTCTTGATCTTTTGTCTTTCCCATAAATTCAGCAAAAAAATATCTTGTTTTATTTTGTTAGTGCTTGAATACATATTACTATGGAACTGCTAAATGTCTCACATTTTTAAATCCTTATAACAATACACTTTCTTTGTATGATTACATGTGGAAAACCAAGATAAATCCTTAGGTTTATGCCTAAAAATATGAACAATAAGTAAGAAAACCGTTCAGGTTATGGCAAATACCTCTTACCTCTTAAGTTTCATTGCCTTTTGTTTCCATTTTTCTGTTTTACAACTCGTTTTCTCCCTTTTAGTTTTTCACAAGGGATAAGATGCACATGAAGATCGATTATGTCAATTATTTGCAATAAACTTGGTGTTTTTAGCACTTAAGCAACAAACAGTACACCGGGTCTCATGTTCGCCCTCTTAATTGCATATGATAGCGTAATTGACATGTAAACATGTGACGTGTCACGTGACTCAAACAATGTAAGCGATTGGTCAATTGCAATTACACAGTTATGCAATTAGCATAGGCTCATAAATATAGAGTTCTGTATCTGATTCAAGATTTCTAATGCCTATTTCTTGTCAAATAACTGACTTTTCAGCTGAATTTCTATGTCAATTGTAAAGAATATTATTGTAAATGTATTGTGCTAATTTTGTTTATTAATAAAAAGCTTCGCGCTAGCCTACAATACTGTCGACTGAACCTTTTTTTTAGTTTGTATTTATGCTGCATTATTTTTTCTTCATCAAAAACATTTTCTAATCCTATCTTCGTAATATATAGTCTGCCAGTTTCCGTACTGTGTTTATTAACTTTTATTTTGATGCTCAGATGCCAGTCGATAAATTCTGTTATTTCCTTTTTAATTTTCTTTTTAAAATTATAAAATTAAAATTTTAGTCTTCTTCTTCTTCTTCCTTCTAGTATGTAGGCTTTAAAGCCTGTTTCTTCTTTAATATTAGCCTCCTAAATTGTTTAAATTGTTGCACCATCTTTTTCTTGGTCTGCCAATAGTTATTCGTCCATTTGGTGACTT